CTTAATATAAAACTTTTAGTATTTTCTTATGTTTACATGTATGTGGATATAAATGATAACAATTTTGAAAGAATGGTATATGAGAGTATGGAAATGTACTGTTTTTCTTACACTTTGTGTGAAGTGATGGTATTAACTCTGAGTAGATTGTCATATGCTAAGGACACATATTTAAATCCTCAAGGGAACTACTGACTAAGATTATAAAAATAGTATAGCTAAGGATCCATTAAATGAATTTAAATGGAACATAAAAGAAGGATTTTATGACCCCCAAAGAAAGTAGAAAAAGAGGAACAAAGAGACATAAAACTGATGAGAGACATAGAGAAAAGAATTAGCAAAATAGTAGACTTATACCCAAATGCATCAGTAGTTACATTAAGTATAAATGGACAAGCATTCTAACTTAAAGGCAAAGATTATCAGACTTGACCAAAAAAATAAGACCCAGCGATACATTATATAAAACACATGTAATTTAAATATAAATACACAAATAAGAAAGAAAAGAGTGTACTGCAAAAATAGTAAGTGTAAAAAGCTCATATGACCAGGTAAAGTAGACTTCAATACATGTTTTAATATTAGATATAAAGAAGGACTTATCATAAAAATAAAAAATTCAGTTTGTTAGAAAAACTTAGCAGTACCTAACATCAGAACTTGAAAAACATGAAGCTAAAATTGAGAGAACTAAACAAAGAAATGGACAAAGCATGATGGAGAATGTTAACACTCCTTTCTTGGTAACTGATGGGGCAATCAAAACAAAGATTATTAATATAGAAGATTTGAAGAACACTGGTAAGTGCTTTAGGAAGGGACATTTATGGAGCAGTACCCCCGACAATTGCAGAATACATTTTCTTTTCAAGTACATATAGAATGCTTACCAAAATAGACCAAATGCTGGGTCATAAAAACACTCAATACATTTCAAAAGATTGAAATATTACAGAGTATATTTTCTGACTGTGACAAATTATATTAGAATAAATAACAGAACTATATATGATAAAAATCCTACACATTTAGAAATCTGATAAAACCTACGTAATTAGAAATCAAACCATATACTTTAAGATAGTCTCTGAAATCATAAGTGAAATTACAGAGCGTTTTGAACTAAAGCAAAAAATGCTACATATCAAAATTGTAGAACACAGTTTAAGCAGTGCTTGAAGGTAAACTAATACATTTAAATACTGAGAAAAGAAGAAAGTTTTATAAGTAATGATTTAGCTTTAGAATCTGGAAGAACAAATTAAACATAAAATAAGTCAAAGAAAGGAAATAATAAAGATAAGAGCAATAAGCAATGAAATAGAAAACAAACCACAGATAAAAGCAACAAAATGAACATTTGGTTAATAGATTAATAGAACAGAATAGATGAATAGAACTGATAAATCCCTACCAAGACTGATAAAATGAGAAAAAATACAAATTACCAGTATTAAGAATAAAAGAACACACATTATTGCAGGTTAAAAGGCAAATAAGGGAATATTATTAAAAACTTTATGCCAGTGAATTTGAAACACATGTAGTGCAAACAAAAATCTGGTGTATGGAAATGATCACAAGAATTAGAAAATATGGCTAGCCCTGTATGAAAGAATTTTGTATACATAGACATACACATAAATATTTTAAAGAAAACTTTTTGCAGGTGGAGCCTGTGGCTCAAAGGAGCAGGGTGCTGGCCCCATATGCTGGAGATGGTGGGTTCAAACCCAGCCCCCCCCCAAGGAAAACTTTTTGCTAATATTATTAGTAAATTTGGTCAAACTTTTAAGAATCCAATAAAACTCAAGCAGGCTCTTTCAGAGAAGAGGGAAGGATGGAATACTCCCCAACTAGTTTCATGTAGCTTGATAACAAAAGCTGAAACAGACACTACAAGAAGAGAAAGTTCTAGACCAATATTCCCCATGGTCGTAAGTATAAGAACCCTTTTAAAAATATCTACAGGTCAAATACAGAAATATATAGAATGGATAATATTGTATATAACTTCTAAATTTGTTTTATCTCAGGAAGACAAGGTTGGTTTAACATATACATATTTCAACTTAAGTGTAATCCTCCATGTGAGCAGACCATATGTTAAAAACCATATGATCATTTCAGTAGATGCAGAAATTGTGTTAAGTTGCTTCTCAAAATTCAACACCCACCGATGATAAAAATTTCTCAATAAATTAGGGATAAAAGGGAACTCTCTTAATCTGATATAGGGCATCTATAAAATACTTAACTGTTACTATCATAATGGTAAAATATTGAACTACTTCTCTCAAAGTTTGGGAACAAGACAAATATCTTGTTTACCACTTCTAATCAACATTATACTGGAGGTCCTAGTTAGTAAAAAAAAGATAAGAAATAGAAATAAGAGGCCTATAGATTAGAATGGGAAAAATATAACTATTCATAGATGACACAGATTGTATATGAAGTACTTCCAAAGGAATTAACAGAACAACTAATTACTATAATAAATGAATTTGGCTAAGTCATAGGATACAAGATCAAAAATTAAAATTAATTTTATGTCTATATGTTAGCAGCAAGTAATTACAGAATAAAATAATCTCAGTTATAACAGCAATAAAGTGATATTAAATATTTAGGAATACATTTAACCCAAAACACATAAGACTACTCCACTGAAAGTAGCAAAATATTACAATGAGAAATTAATGAAGACTCACATAAAATGGAGAGATTACACCATGTTTCTGAATTGAGAGAACCATTATAATTAGGTTGATAATTTCCTGAAAATTGATCTACAGATTAGTTGAAATCTCAATAAAAATCTCAACAGGCTTTGTGTACATTTGTAGTTATTCTGACAAATTAATTCTAAAATTTATGTGGAAATACAAAGGCTCTAGAATACTTCTAAAAAAATGTTGAAGAAAAAGTTGGAAGTCACATACCAGCTGACTTCAGGGTTTACTTCAAAGCTACAGTAATTAAGACAATGGTATATTGACAGAAAGACAGATGACTAGATCAATGCAACACTATGAGAGCCCACACATAAAGGTTCGATTGATTTGGGGCAAAGTTGCCAAGAAATTCACTGGAGAATAGCAAACCTTTTTAACAAAGGGTGCTGGAACAACAGGGTAAGTCTGTGGATGAAAATGAACTTTGATCCCTACTGCAAACCACACACAAAAAGTAATTTAAGATAGATCATAGATTAAAATGTGAAAGCTAAAACCACACAGCGTCTAGAAGAAGAAGAAAACGTACAATATCTTCATGACCTTGATGTAGGTAAAGATTTTTTAGAGAGGACACAGAAAAGAACTAAACAGAAAATAAAAATTGATAAATTAGACTTCATAAAAATGAAAATTCTTTTCAAAAAATGATGCCGTCGTGAAAATGAAAAGGTAAGCCACAGAATGGAAGAAACTATTTTTGATACACATGTTGACAAAGGGCTTACATACAAAATATGTAAAAAAAAAAAAAAAACTCTGACAAATTCATTAAGAAAAAAGACTCACAACCCAATATAAATGGGCCAAAGACTTGATAAAACAATATAAGATATTTAAGAAATGGACCAATAAACATATGAAAAAAGCACTCAATATCTTTGTTCATTGAGGAAATGTGAATTAGAGTCACGATGAGATATCATTTTATGACCATTTGGTTGGCTAACATTAAAAAGAATTGGCTTGGAGCCTGTGGCTCAAGCGGCTAAGGCGCCAGCCACATACACCTGAGCTGGCGGGTTCTAATCCAGCCCAGGGCCTACCAAACAACAATGACAGCTGCAACCAAAAAATAGCCGGGCATTGAGGCAGGTGCTTGTAGTCCCAGCTACTTGGGAGGCAGAGGCAGGAGAATCCCTTGAGCCCAGGAGGTGGAGGTTGCTGTGAGCTGTGATGCCACAGCACTCTGCCCAGGGTGACAGCTTAAGGCTCTGTCTCAAAAAAAAAAAAATTGATAACACCAAATATTAGTGAGGATGTGGAGTAACATTGTTAGTGGGATGGAAAAAATGGTAGAGTCTGGGCAGTGCCTGTGGCTCAAAGGGGTAGGGCACTGGCCCCATATGCCGGAGGTGGCAGGTTCAAACCCAGCCCCAGCCAAAAACAGAAAAA